GCACACATCAGATCTACCGATCCCTCTCTAACGACCTTTTGTGAACCTCTCAATTGAGAACTTTTTACTCGAGCACTCCCCTCAGGATTCGAGTATACTTTTCTTGTACATAAATCGACCTTGCGTCGTCATCGGCCGGAATCAGAACCCATGGCTCGAAATCAATCTTCGAGAGCTGGATCGTGGGCCCCAGAGCATTGCGGATGGATCTACGAACAACGCACCCTTTGTGCGGCGGAGATCTGGAGGTGGTGCTGTATTTCATGACGAAGGCAATCTGAATTACTGTGTCATCTGTCCGAAACCCGTCTTCCATCGAGACAAGCATGCCGAGATGGTGGTTAGGGCTCTCCAGCGCGTCGGCGCAGTCAACACAAGGGTCAATGAGCGTCATGATATTGTCCTAGGACAGGATCCAGGAACGCTATCTAGAGAAGCCGTTAAAGTTGAAACAGGGCATCCGAAAAGCCTTCGAACCGAAAAAACAATACCGCATTCCCTCAAAATCTCTGGCTCCGCGTATAAACTGACACGATTTCGAGCTCTGCATCACGGCACTTGCTTGATTGACTCCCCCAATCTCGGAAATATAACCTCATTCCTACGATCGCCAGCTCGACCTTACTTGAAAGCAAAAGGAGTCGATAGTGTTAGGTCTCCAGTAGGAAATGTTTCAAGTGTGGTTGATTCAACCTTTCTCATGGACCAGGTAATTTCCAACATTATGGAGGAGTTTGCCCAACTCTACGGCATGCATCCAGATGCTATTCTAAGGGCTCAGCGCGCGCATGCAATTGACCCAGAGGTCCACATGGCACAGAACTGGGCGTTTGCTGGAGTGTCAGCCATTCACGCACTCGGTGAGCCAGAGATAGTTGAGGCGATCCAGAGACTTCATGTTTGCTGCCCCACAGTTCTTTTCGCAAAAATTAGTGGGATCCCCTGAACAAATCTCCCTCTCTTTATTCAATCGTTACTGAGTCTTGGGAATGGAAATAGGGCCAAGCGAGGAAATTTACCTTTTCAACCCATCCCCGGGAGGAAGATCCTAGACCGAGACCTCCTTTTCCACAGTACCTTCCCTCCTGGGGGAGTACCAGCCAATGGTTTCCCCCCCCCCAAACATACCAATTTACGTCTTATCGTCACACTGGTAACCGGGGAAAAAAAAAAAAAAAAAAAAAAAAAAAAAAAAGCCCTTACTAACACGCATGCCCCTGCACAGACACGTGTCTTCCTCCGAGTGAAATCCGGCGCAATAATCTCGAGCCAGATCTCCACCTCCGCAAACCCCGAGCAGGCGGACGTCCAATCCGAACGGACCAGTCAAATCCTTGCGAATAGGAAGCTGCATGAAATTTCCGATTGGGCAGGTGTCATCGCCGGTTCCGGCGCGTTTGATTCTCAGGACGAAATTCGGAACGTCTCCAGTTGGCTCGCCAGCAAGCTTGGACGCTGACTGATGCATATCTATATGTACGGTGAGTAGCGCCGTTTGTTGGCCAGCCGTCAGTGGGGATCACCGTGCATATATGCAAGTGCATTGTATTTTATTTCCCCCCCCCCCGAATATTTGGTTGTTACATCATCTAAAGGGTGTAACCCATTGTATATATATAATACAGCGATTGAAAAGAGAGTTTGGATTCTGGAACAATATGTATTTAGGTATTGAAACATCTTTCAACAAGACTAACTATATCTTATCTAGAGAGTGTATATTATATAGAATAAAGAGACCACAAACAATAAATTTCAGGCTTATACCCGGCAAGAAGTGAATGTATGGTGAGACGATGGCAGACTCGCTCTCTGAAAAGGAAAGGGAACAGACATGATGAAACCACACCCCAGATTTCGTATACCTCCTCGATAGTATCGTATAACATGATCTCATCCACCCATATGCCAGAAAATGCCAGAAAATGAGATTCGTACCAATTCATCATATATCCACATATAACAAAATAACCAAAAATCCACCCATACAGGCCTATCAAATATAGCGAAAAGCCCAAGAAAGAAAAAAATCGCAAGCAAAGCGGAGAATATAGAAAAAAACCCAACAAAACCATTTCGAATAACAGGGGAACACTCAAGATAAAAAAAAAAAAAAAAGCCCCGACGCCAAAACAGCTAAGTGGAATCCGATCGTTGAGCTTTACTTACGGGGACCTCCAATGATACTACGGCGCGGTCTCATCTTCAGCTCCACAATTACTGTGAAGCGTTTGATCATCATCGTTCGTCCATATAATCTCCAACGCCAGGATTGACCACCCGAAGCTTCTCCTTGGGAACCGTATAGGCAATTTGCACCAACCTGCCTTCCGCCGCTGCTTCCACGTCCCACTCCTCATCGTCATCATAGTCGAGGAGATCTGGTGAGTGGCTGCTTAAACTCATACCAGCACCACTCTCCGACGACGATGCCGCTCCGTAGAGATTATTAGCATCAGCAGCGCGCGCGGCCTGAAGCAGCCGTATCTGCGCACTATCAGCAGAGGATCGCTTCGCACCCCAGTCCTTCGCACCCTGCTTGCGCCCCAGGATTGACGAGGCGGAGCTCATGGCGCGTCCGGGAATGCTATTTGAATCCGAAGTTGCTGTTGATTCTCTCCCATCCTGAAAACTATAGAGGCTCTTTGTGGGACTCGTGCTTGTACTCCTTTGCTGCTGATACGGCTTGTATGGCTCATACTGCTGCTGCTGCTGCTGCTGCTGCTGCTGTTCTAGTCGCTGAGAGCGTTGAGAGCCTGACGACATATTTTCCAGGCTCACGGAATTCGACTTTGCGATGTTCTCAGCTCTCCTGACGGAACGGAGGGTGCGGCGGACATTACCAACTAATCCCCGACCTTTGTTCTGCATCACGTTCAGCCCTCTCCTTGATGACTCCAACGGCGTAATACCAAGCAGAAATTCGTTTTCTGCTTGTGATCGGCCGAAAGTTGCATTATGTGCAGGGCGTTGAGATACAATGGTGTTGTCCGAGGACCACGTCGTATGTGTACTTAACTCGTTGACCGGATCGTAGCTACTGCCACCACCGGTAGAGTGTGCATGTAGCTGCCCTTGGAAGTGGCTTTCAGGGGACCAGTTTTGGATGGGCTCGAACGCAGCTGCAGCCGGACCGTCCGCCATGTTTTTGTTCAGAAAAACGCGATTTGCGGGTTGCGAGGAGGACGACATGAAAGAGCTGGAAACTTCAGAAAAACCCGATAGTGTTCGGAGACTCTTATCTGGAGAGTAACTCCTGGAGGCGGCGTCGTTGGACTCGGAAGTATCCGTCCATTCGTTTGAGGATGATTTTTCATGGATCGCTATGCCTTGCGGAAACGAACTGGCACTGTAAGAATCGCTATAGCGGGAAGAATCACTAAACGGATTGGAGATAACAGATGTCCGGTTCTGCTGTTGAGTTGCTCCTTTCTCTACCGCCATCGCACTGTTGTCAATGGCATCCTCACATTCATCTCCCTCGTCGATCGGATGTATACCACTGAATCCTACGTTCCTTCTCGAACTCTCAAAGCATGGAGAGGATTGACACCCTCTGTACTGCACACTCCGTCGAAGACCTCTTGTGGGACTTGGAATATCTACCAGAAGCCCTGTTCTTTCCGCAGACGCAGTGCCAGTATCTTTAGAATCACGATTGCTGGGATTGCCAACCCATGAGTATGCATTGGGATAGAGAGCCAACTTTTCTGCCGTGACGTTGTTCGTCGGCTGAGAGAACGTTCCCCGAAGGGTCCAGATGTGGACGCTCCGCTCATCGAACCAAGCCTACGGAGCACTGCTCACGAGTC